GAAGTGTAAACTTGTTTAATAAACCATATCTTTCATTTTCGATTTTTAATTCACGTAGTCCGGGAACTTTCCGGACAAACTGTGTACACGTACATGACAATTCAGAAACATTATTACGTACTTATCATAAAGACTTTTTAATGACATGTTGTCGTCCAAGCTTTCCTCATACATGTCGTAATGAAGAATGAGCCAGGACGTTCTGAAAGGCCATTGTTCGGTGATGTTGATCCAACTAGCTAAGTGATACCAGTTGAAATCAACTTGGAATGCTTTGAGTAATCGTCCTAAATAGAAACATACGTGTAACAATCGTAATCACGCGTAATACGACATTATGCAACAATTAATTCAACTTAATTTAATTTTATACATACCAGTGACGTAAACTACGTTCATCAGTCTCCTCATACTGCGAGGATTTACATCACTGAAGTAATCGTCGGTGAGCAGCATCTTATTGAGATCTTGCGCGCCACCCAACCGATTCAAATTGCTGCCAATACTGCTCGCGATTGATTCGCTCAATCGTAACTTTCTGCTGCCCTTCCTCGTTTGGGGTTTCAGTTTCTCGTTGCTGTTCATTATAGCCGATTCCGAACTGAGTCTCCGATTAGACACCGAGTGATGCATAGTGTTGGCTGTGGTGTAATTGACGCTATCCTCGGCCTCCGTCCATGCCGTTCTCTTGTTGTATTGAGAGGTCTGTTGCGCGACTTTGACTTTACGCAAGCCACTGTTTTGCAAATAAAACGGCAGATGCACCATGTTCCGCAAGTAATCGTGACCGCCGATATTCGATTCCGAGAATATTCTTCTGCTATTCACTTCTACCGCCTGTGCGCGTAATTTTGAATGATAATTTTTTTATTATCGCGCCCTCGTGTCTTTCTTCGAATAAAATATTCTCACAAATATTTTCAAAAATATTTTTTATATCTGCTCGACTCACTTACCTTAGCTATGATATGAGGATCGATTGCTAATATCACGACAAAAGGATATCCGTTATCGCTAAATAAGGCCTGTATGGCATCTAGAATCAATAACACCTTATCCTGCTCGCAACTGTCCAAACCGTCTACTATTATAACTAGTCTACTTTGTTGAGCCATGAAATTGTCCATGCACTTGACCTGGTTAAAAATAACGATTGAAACCCGTACCGTTAATTGTCAGTAAAGTAGAAAAAAAGACAATAAATAAATTTACCATCTCTGTCATTAGAGTGACCTCGCTTCTGAGAGCTTGAATAAAACCTTCGCTCTTCAGAATTTCTAAGTTCGTTATACTGCGCTGAAGGTGCTTTCTCTGTGAAAATACTAACGCCTGCAACGTTCTGCACCACGTGTATAAATTCGCTATTATACTAATGGCCAAGACCAAGGCGATCGTTATCATGATTATGTGAGCGGTGGTTCGTTCTATCGTCGGCCTAAACGATTCAACATGTGATGAGACAATGTGATAACAACAAACAAGTTCTATTATTCAAACGTGTGACTGTACTTACTCGTCCTTTGCAATGTCTATGAGGTATACCGTGAGCACCGAGATACCGACGAGCAAGCTGCAGAAGCAGAACTCGAATATAACTATGTACGGCAAGCAACACAAGCGTCTCCATTTCCACTTCGTGGTCGATTTATTTGGCTTCGGGCGAAACGCCCGATATAATCTGGTCGACAGAGAACCGAAGTCGTTCTCAATAGAATCATACAACGAGGCGACCATCTGAACGACCGCGTTCTCACCGGCGGCGTTCGTGCCCACACGGGTCTGATCGGTGAAGTAGAACTTAATCGGCTGCACCCCGACGTTGTTCTGTCCCTGACCGCTCGGGGGATGGCAGAAGATCACTTGCAGCAACAATTTAAGCGCGTTTAATTTGACAGTGAGTGCCACCGTGAAATTATACGGCCAATACCAATCGTATCTGCGACACGCAATCAAGAAACGCGATAAGAATACAAAACGCAAAACAGGTTGGTCTCGAGCCATTTTTTTAGCGAGTCTTACCTCTTGTTCGCATACCAAACGAGTAGCAAAAAGATGTAAACGATAATCAACAGACTTGTTCCGCAAGATAGACCAATGATCCATGACTGTAAGGCAAGACCTAGGGTTATACCCACCAATAACGATATATGCGCTATTACTAGAAAGAGCAAGGAAGAAAATTGGAATACTGGATCGATCCACTGTCGCGTGAAATTCTTCATCTCCTCTGTAAAGAATAATCGTGTTTATTATTATCATTTTTGTTTTACGATGTTCGAGATAATCTCGTTTGTACATATAAAGCTATAAAGTAATTCAACGAGCTATCTGGCGCAATACCTCTCAGTTTGCTGAGTAAAAACGACTTTCCAGAACCCCACTTTGCATAAAGGCCGACGGTAATTGGCGTGGAGAGCGACGGTTCGCTAAGAATATCTGCCAACGCGCTGCTGTACAAATCGTAACCAAGCATATTCTCATTGTCCTCGTTAGTGTTCAAACGTCCTGAAATACGCATTAAGCTATTCTATAGGCTATATAGCTATTCTATATCACAAAAGATTAAAAGAATTATTTTTCACATGTATCTTTTATTCGCGTGTACTTGGAGTCAAGTTACCAACAAAAATAAGAACAGTGGCTGGCGCCTGTGACAACTTACGAGCACCGAATATCTGTCCGAGAATTGTTTTCGGATGATTGATGTCGATGTTGTAGGGGGTCTCGCCTTGTCTGTTCGGACGGTACAATAACTGGCTATTCTTTGGATTCTGCAGCAGTATCTCGACGATCGCTTTCGATCGCGCGCGCATCGCAATGTGCAGTACAGTGTCGCCCTTCTTGTCCGTAGCCGAGACCTTGGCTTTCTTGTCTAAAAGCAATTGCACGATTTCGGCGTTACGTGACCTCACCGCTCGTAGTAAGGGCGTGTCGCCGTCTTTCGTGGCAATCTCCAGGTCTGGGTTAGCGTTTAGTAATAATTTGAGTACCGGTATATTGCCTTTCTCTACTGCTATGTAAGTTGCGGTTTTTTTATCCTAGAATATATACGGACGGGATGGTTAGTGCGGCCAAAGAACGATCCGAGATAAACGCGATTGAGGGTGTTTTATGCACATGTGTGTATGTATGTGACGCACGAACCTAGCTCGAAGTGGCTCACGGATTACCACGGTGACCGGATCCGAGAGATGGCCTCTTATTAAAGCGCCCATCGTACCGATCCGAGCCGCTATCGATTTATGTGACACTTTAAACGAAGTTTCGCATACATGCACCACATGAAGCTCGGATGCGAGCCACCGGCTTTTCGGAAAATATATTTGGGAATCGCTTTACAATGTTCGATAGAGAAGAAGTATAAATTTCATTTCAAAAAGTTTCGATCTTCGAGGAAGATACGCGTATACAAGATAAGAAAACGACGAATGGAATCGTACCTTTCCAGCAACGTCGACATCAGCGTATTTTTTTAGTAAAGATTCCACCACACCGCGATGACCACCCTTCACGGCATGAATCAGATTCGTGTCGCCGGCACGATCCTGAATATTAACGTAAGCGCCGGCGTTTAAAAGAGCGTTTGCTATCTCGTGATGACCTTCTCGACAGGCAATTGCCAAAGCGGTGCAACCATCCTTGTCGAGAGCGTTCACATTGGGTCTGTGCTCCAACAGTAGGGACACTACCTCCACGTGATTGCCAAGGGTTGCCACGAGCAATGGAGTCCACGAAAACTAAAAATATCAATCAAAAATAATACGTATGTGAATATAAAAAAATATACTTCATATCATACCATGTGAATATAAAGCAAACTATCAAATTATGTATTTATATTGAGACATTTCTATTTCACGGGTTGATATTTTCCTAGCAAAATGAAAAAAAAATATCAATCACTTTATATTGCCTTTTTTTGAGACTTTTAATGACTTTACCATGCCTGCTGTGTCGACGTTGGCGCCAGCCTTGAGAAGAATATCAACAATATCCACGTTTCCCTTGCGCGAAGCCCATATAAGTGCCGTGGTGCCATACTGAGGAAAAAAAATACTGAATATCTCAAGAGAGTGACCGCACAACGCCATCGATTTACGGTTACAATATGCTCGTTACGGTGGATTACCTTGTCGCCGACATTGACCTTCGCCCCGTGAGCGACGAGATCTTTGACTATATCAGGATAACCCCTGCCAGCGGCCCATAATAACGAGGAAATGTGAAAATTTCCATGCGCGTTGACGTCAGCCCCGCGCGCCAGCAGCACCGTCACCGTCGCCGACCTCCCTTTGTACGTCGCCCACATAAGTGCCGTCCAGCCGCCCTGTAAACGAACTTTCTTCAAATGTCTGTCTGTACAAATAAATCCCACGGATATAAATATACTTGACTTTTTATATAAAACTCTCTCATATACAGCAAAACTCAATTTGAAGTTACGTTAAAACATAAAACAAGTTAAAGACAGCAGAAAAAATATTTAACACAAAAAATATAGTAAACATGTAAAACAGTTTAAAAACTCAAATACAATAATAGAAGAATCTTTATATAAATTATGCTTGTGTGGATGTAACAAGTTTTAAATTACTGAACGTAACACGAGACAGCTTTTCTGTCATGCACACAAATTTCTAGTTATAAATTTATATTAATGGCCTCGTGCCAAGCTGATAAACTATGTAACTCCCGACCATATATCGATGCTCCAGATCGGCGCCGTGTTCCAGCAACTCGACGCAAACGTCGGTGTGGCCTTCCTTCGCCGCGCACAGCAGTGCCGACCAGTTGTCCTGAAAAGAAAAAAATTACGCCCATTTTCAACAATGTTAATCAATAATTTTATGCAATCTTTGACGTCTGAAAACGTGCAGACAGACTACTAACCGCATCTTCGGCATTGACATCTGCTCCATGATTGATGAGCTCTCGTACGAATTGTATTTTCCCTTTAGTTGCCGCGAAGATGAGAGCGGTGCTGCCATTCTGTCATGAGGAAACAATTTGTCAGAAAAGGTTCGAACGCACATACAGGGGGGTAAACACAAGAAAGTGTTTTTTTTTCTTTCCCCTCTATATTTATTTTTCTATATTTTATTTTCGCGGTGCGATGTTTTTCAGAAAAAAAACTGAATGAAAATTTTGTATGTTGCTTTTTTCAAAAATGTTCTGAGTGATAAAAACAATCTTTATTGTGTCCTACACATTGTTATCAACGATTTTGAAATGTTATTGTTCTCTCAATTTTACCTCGTCTCTGTCGTCGATCTGCACTCGCCTATTCTCAAGGAAATTCTGCAGTCCGACGAGATTATCATCTGCAATGTAGCCTTCGAGTGATCGGTAACAAAGCGATACCATCGAGTCAGTCCGATTCAAAGTCTGTGAAAGAACAGAGAGAACTTATCGATGGATTCTTCTTATCGCGCCGTGCACGATTCTCGACGGTGTTAAAAATCGTTAGAGCAAACAACTCATAGAGATAAGACTAGATGACAACTACGGAAGAAGAGAGAAAAAAACGCGCTCAAGCGAATGGCAAATTGCGCCATTCCATCTTGAAACTCAACGCGAGCAACACTTGTCATTCTTCAGACGTGATTGTTTCCTATGTTTTTTTTAAAAAGAAAAAAAAACAAAATCGTTATAAAGATTGTTACAAGAAATTACGTTAAAAAGCGAAGAAGTTAGTTTTTTCTAATTAAATATTTCAGTTATTTATTTAACTGCAAAACGTTTAACCAACTAACCTGTAATGCAAAAGTTTTGTATATTTTTGAACTTTTTTTTTCAAAATATGTCCGTGAATCTTCACCTTGTGTTATTTATCAAAATACGTATGTTTCAAGACTTTCGCACACCTACGAAATCATTACAATCCACATAGATAGTTATAAAATATTCGACGTAAATAGAGCAGCCACAATAAAGTACGAAACGAAGCCTTATCGAAGCTCTACTCAGGATCTACGAACAGCGTAGGCAAACATCGATATTTTTCAGTCGTCCTTAGTAAAGCAATATCACAGTGTTTGCGCCGTAAGTACATTAAACCACCCCTCGAGCGCGAGAGGTTTGTAAAAATAAATCAGAAAATCCACCTTCTGCGAACAATGAAGTTCTCTGGCTGCACAGATCTCACGGCACGTCAAAAGTGTGTTCTCGCGCGCTTTTTAAAAATAATCCACCAACTATTTCAAAAATCAAATATACACTCTCTCGTCCCAACTTTCGGATCGGAAAATTATTATCACACTTTTGCGTTCTTTCTGTTTTTCTCAAGCGATATTCGACACGCGATGTTCCATTGCTTTACGCCATCGAGACGGAAAAAAAGAATATTTCGTACGCGAAATATTCGAGCGGTTATAATTTCGCGCGTCTATTTGGCCGCGACTAGAGCCCGCGCGTTCGCCGTTCGAAGAAAAATAAGAGGGACGGAACCACTTGACTTGTGCACTTCTCGCGATTCCCCGGAGTAGAAAGTATCTGGGTCAATGACAGTGAATGACACTCGCGTGAATGATAACGACGCGATCGCGCGTACATGACAGAAAAATAAAAGTAGAAAGTTAGCACACAGCGTTTTTAATCGCTAAACTATAGATTGGTAAAGTTGCGCGAACGTCAGAAATAAATAACAGCAGAGAGAGAATGAATGAATGAATGAATGAGTGAATGAATGTTGCTTTATTTATATAAAGAGCGCTCTGAGATAATATCCCCTAAGTACATGAGATAAAATAAAACAACAAATATAATTCGAGAAAAATAATAACAATATAGATAATGATAATAATAGTTAAAGAAAATAGTTAAAAAATAACAATAACATTAACAAGAAATAATAACAAAGAAAATGTAATATAATATTTCACATAAAAGATAAAAAGAAAAATAAAACTATTAAATAAAAATAAAAAAATAACAAAAGAAAAGATATTAAATATAATGCAACAGTAAAGAGAAGATAAAGAATAAAATGAATAATATTAACATAACAACAATACAATAAAATATTGTGATATGTGAATAAGAAAAATAAAATTACACATGGTAAATAAATTACAATTTGCTAAAAACCAGACATAAAAAAACAAACAGTGTGCGCAGAGATAAATCAAGTCTCTCTCTTATCTCTCTTTCTCAAGAGAGAGAGAGAGAGAGAGAAAGATTCCGGCAGCAAGATATCGGACATCGTGTGTTAGATTCTGCGGAAGCGAGTTAAGTGACACATGTGCCGCGTGCGGATTATCGATAAAGTCGCGCGTAACTTAACGGGCATAAATTAACTTGGCATTTACGGTGCGCGAGAAGATGATAATGTCACTACAAGTATATTATACACTACGGCGAGACTATGTATTCATAATCTTTCGGCATGAAGTTTTTGTAATCCGCGTGTTAAGAGCTATAATCAATCCCGGCTGCGAGAATATTATAACAAGAGTTTTAAACGTAATACTAATTTAAATTTAAATACTTTCCAAAATCTTTTTGCTCGACGTTTCTCTCATTTGTGACACTGGAAATAAAAATTCCCCGGTTAACGAAATAGAGACGATAACTCGAAAAACGAGCGTGTCAATCCGCGTAAATGAAACGTGACATCAAAACGTACTCTCGCAATAATCTTCGAAACTATCTCGAAAGAAAGAGATCTTTCTTCGATGAGAAATTTCTCGCGCTTTTTGCGAACGTCGGAGAACGAACGCTCTTTCACTTCGTTTATTATCCGAACTGTTACAAAAAAAAAAAAAAAATCCGATACTACGAGCACGTACAACGCACAAACATTTTATAGACTCACATAGCGGCGGAAGCGCATTAGATCAGCTCTACTTCATGCGGTTGATTTTGTCTCATTGCTGAAATCTTCGAGGGTACGTATGATTGTTATACGTGCTGCGATGTACTTACACTTTTGCCGCTTCGACGAGAGCGAGTGTCAACTATGTATTTAATTCGCGCGTGTCCCCAGTTACAATCGATTATAAGATCGATGACAGAACCGAACAGAATTCCATTATATATATAAGCGAGCGTTACGTAAGTGTTGTCAAAAAGTTTTCTATATAGACAAGGCAACGGAGTGACTTTCTTTGTCTTCGATTTAATAAATTAACAAGATCACACACACACATAATTGGTGTGTTATATGCGTACGTCTCGAGTGTTAAGGTTTATCAGATTATTATCGGGCAAAGTTATAAAAAGAAATATCGTCACACTTGAAATGTACATTGCATTTAAAGCAAATTTGGAATAACACGGTTAAAGCATGTTAAAAGTTTTTGTTACACATCTAATCAAACCGAAACGAACTGTAGGAAAAAACTGAACTCCAAATTTCGAACATAAATAAATATATATATTTAGCTTTTGAATATAAATTACACGTATTTAATTTAAAATTACGTATTTAAATAAAAAATATAAATATATAAAATTACACATATTTAAAAAATTTTTTATGTTCGATTTGAGATCTTCCCCTTCAAACCGTCGTGGATTTCCAAAGTTAAAAAATCGTAGAATAGCTCTTGAGTCACTGATTAATCACGATAATCATTTTCATAACACACATTTAAACATGCAGACAAATCAGTTCTCTCTCAGAAAATTATCAGATTATCGATACCGTGACGTTTAATTCACAAAATTAGTTTTATGATTTCAAACGTCTGTAAGCAATAATAATTGCGATAAGATAAACGATTTAAACTGCGTCGATGTGTTTGTGCCATCAATGCGTTTTCTATGTTCATTAATCGCAACAATTACTTGACGTGTATTATTTATGACGATAAAAACATCGTCGTCAGATTGTCTTCGATCGACTCGGTTCGATCTTTCAATCAGGCGCGCGTGTCAATTTGAAGCGTGAATCATTTCAATCGGAGCGTGATGCGTTGCGAATTAATAGAAACTGGTGTTATAGACAGATACACATATATACACACACGCACACACACACACGCGCACGCGTCAACGTCTGGCCTCAACGTGATATACGTTGTTTAATCGTCATTATTCGTTCAAGTATCGATTATTTCATTTAGTTTTCAGTTCGAAACAATGTGTTGATTTTTATCACGTTGGAGAGAAAAAACTAAGAAACTCGGCAGCCAGACCCTGACAGCTCTCTTTACGCACACATGTTAACAAGGAGAAAAAAACACCACACGAAAACGAGGGGAAACGACGTGCGTTCTCACACACTAACCGCCTGGGAGTATCTTCGGATGGCGAAGTTGAACTTGCGACCGGTGCCGTCGGCCGGCGCCGTAAAGGTGATGGTGGGCACGGGAATATGCGGGAACATGTGATGGTGATGGTGATGATGATGATCGTGGTGCTGATGATGCAAGTGATCATGGTAGTTCTCGGCGTCGTGCCAGTTCGCGTTGGAATTCAGCTCGGGTATTTGAAGACGCAGAAACGATTTCAACCTGCGGCGCGTTCTACCGACAGAGGAGACGTCGTCGATCGCGACGGTCGAGCTGGTCGACAAGTTCGACAAGGTGGCACTCCGTTGCAAATTGTGGTCCCCGTTCGGTAACAGGGAATTCGGCACACCGGGAATAGCGCCGAGCAAACTCGGCGCCAGACTCGAGCAGATCGCCGCGTTCGCGATGCTGAACTTCCGGATGGGATTCACGCTGGTGCCGGCCACGATGTCCTCGAACGTCGGCGATTTCTGGCTGATTGTCGCGTTCTCCTGCAACCCGGACTGGTTCAGATCGGCGTTCGTCATCGGCAATGTTGACCTGCGACCACTGCCGCCGCTTTTGTCGGATTTTTCGTCGTTGAGATTATCTTGAATTGCGGTGGTCACTGAACGTAACGCTGTGTCAGAAACTTTGCCAACGCTCGAAGGAGAATGTTTGTTTTCACCAGTCGATTGCTTCGGTAACTTCAAAGAACGAAACTGCTCATCAATCTCCGAAGTCTCTGAAGAAACCTCCAGCAAGTTGACTATTAATTGAGGTTGTCTCGATTTGTTCGTGGAAATTGACTTCGTATGACTGCGCGGCAGGTGGTCGTAGCTTGATGAAGATCGAAACCTCGTCGGTCGTTCCATCGTGACGAAGTCGTCGCACTTGAACGCGGAGACACTTCCGTCCGAATTTATCATCGGCACCGTCGACCTTCTTCGCGTTTCGATTTTCGAACTCGCATCGTCACCGTGCTTGCTCTGTCCTTCCATCGCGCGATGACGATCCACGGTTTTGTTTTGTTCACCCGCGTCGTTCAACGGACCGGGTGGTGGTTTCTCTTCGTAAGACCAACGCGAACGATCGAAAATTCTCGCAAGTTCAAAGTCAGGCACGACCGAGTCCGAGAGGGTTTTCGCTTTTGTGTTGTCGGATTTTTTTTGAACTTTTCCCGAGTCGCTCTCGGGTAACGAAATTGTCCGTGAGAGTTTTCTCGATTCTTTCGAGGTTAACGAGGCTTTATCCTTTTTCGCTTCTTCGTCGTCTTCGTCGAAGCTGACGCGGAAGAAAGCCGCCGTGATTCTAACACGTTCGTCTTTGGCTTTCCGCATGGCATTCTCTTCTTGTTTGTTCAGCAAACACAAAAATCAAACACTCCGTTTCCGGGGGACAATCGAGAATCGGCTGTGAGAGTGAAGTCATGCGCACAAAAGAACGGCCCGGGGTTTTAGCACTTGACCGCACTTTTTTTTTATTATGCAAAAGTGGTAGTTTTTATTGACGATATTAAAAACACAGCACATGCTACTTTCGAAATTTGTCAGTTCATTATTTTTTAACTAGCGTTTTAATTTTCTTGTCGCGTGAAACTGCGAATTTAAAATGAAAAAAAAAATTAAATGAAAAGAAACAAATTAAATTAATAATTTTTAAATGCGGTGTAATAAAATTTACATTTAATTTAACGTAGACTCTCGGATGAACGGGATACGCTTTGTAAATCCTTCAAGATGGATTTCGCACTTTGCAATTTCTTTCGAACTATGTGTCATGCGATGTGTTGCATTGTGAAAAGTGATGACAGATGTGCGTTTCACAGCGGATCTTTGAGATCCAATGTAAACATTTTTAAAATATTACCAGACGAATATAATTCTTAATTGCAATTGCTTTTTATCTGATATTTGATGCTTTCGCAGTGTGTTGCATTAAACATTCGAAGATGTTTTTCGGATTTGAACCGCGTTAGTGTCATTTTTATGCCGACGTTTCGTGAACATTTCAAACGTCGGTGTAAAAATGACACTAACGCGGTTCAAACCCGAAAAAACATCTCTTCATAATACTGTACATTCAAGTGATCAACGTACAAGAGGAAATATAATTCAACTCACAACTTCTCTGAAACTGTCTACGAATTCGCAAGGAAAAGAAAAATCGAATGAGTACTTGAAAACAATTTTCACGTGTTCTCAGTACAGTAGATCAAAGTTACGATTCGTCGACATTATCAATCTTCGTTACAACTAGAATCAGATTTAGAAGAAAGAAAGAAGAAACTCTGATCTGAAGACCGATCGTGGGAAAAGCCTCGGAATTATAGAAATGATACCGTGAGAGAAACGGACCCGCGACAAGGTAGTGAGTCTGAGCATCTTTTCCAGATTTCGCGTGGTCTTCTGTTCGGTACAAGTCTATCTCGGAGCTCTGAGATCCGATGCTGCTTCCCTTCTCCGTCGTTGAGCACAGAAACCGTTGCGGGACCGGTCCAGGAACTGAGAGAGCGCAAGGCGACTGACGATGCCGACAAATCGCTCGAGAAATAAACGCGCGCGGATAATATCGCGTGACATTTATATCTATATATATATGTATATATATATATCGCGACGGGATCTCTCTAAGCTCGTGTACATACACAATAGGACTTTTGTGTGCGCTTCGTGCGTAAGCACAGCGCGTGCCTGAGCGCATTATCAGTGCCGTAAACTTCCCGATGCAAAAACTCTTTTTTTTTTTATAAAAACATACCGTGATCTTAATTGAATGTCGGGACGTGCGGTGAAAAGCAATGTCGTCATGCGCGCATCAAATACACAAAAGAAATTAATGAGATAAATAAATTCACGTAATATATTTTTTTTCATGAAAATAAACAAAATTGATTAAGAAATTAATTAGATAAATAAATTCACGTAATATATTTTTTGTATGAAAATAAAAAAGTTGATTTAAACAACTTTTGTTTAAACGTGTAAACGATTTTAATTTTCTTCGTGGACAGACCTCAAAAACGACTTACTAATTGGACAGACTCTGTGAGACTTTAAAATCAAACATCTATGCGAGAAATAAATATTTTTTCAGTTTGTGTTTTTTAATCAAAAATTTTAACAATTCTGTGTCGACAAAAAAAACAAATTGTATGAAAAAATCTTTAGTATACTCAAAGATATAAGCATTGAAGAAAACTAATTTTTATTGGAGACACAATTTTTGAGTGGGTCTGAGAGACCTATGTCTGTCCGCGAAAGGTTAAGAAGTGTATTTATATAAAATGTTTCTTCAGTTTTTCATCTGGAAGTGATGCGCGATAATACACAAAATAACAATAGCGCATAGTACTAAAAATAAAAGAAGAAAAATCGAGATGTTATATACAGTCCGCACTAGGAAATAATTGTTACTCGTAAAAATTACGTCATTGCGGAATTCGCGCGCAACGATTAGTTCAGTTTCCGAGATAATAGAGGGAAAACACGCGGTGTATCATGACGTCACCGACAAAGCACCAGAAGACGCAGATATGTAAACTGCATAGCGCTTTGTAATCTTCCGCGGTTAAATCGGCCGTGTCGCGTCTCGCGAATTCGGCGCGACAACGCCGGTTTGATCAAGCAACAAATTTGAGTATCGCGATAAGCGACGCGGCGATTAAACTGCAATTTTTGTTTACAGCTCATATTTGCGCAGTAGCGTATCCACCGACCTAGTTAATAAAAAGAGACCCCTCTCGAATTATATAACAAAGCCATCGTATCCCTAATTGATATTGGAAACGTGCGTAATTCACTTACGACTCGTCTCGCTGTAACAAAAACAAGCTCTCGTTACGCTTCAAAAACAAGTTCTCGAACGCAATCGTCTTCTTTCAAGTGCAATTTTTTGCCACGTTGTGCAAATAATCGCGTCAAGTTGATTGAGAAACTCATCGCGCAGAGACACGCGCGATCGAGACCACTCCACAAACACGTAAAATTTCATGCGTGATCTGGTTGCTTGTTTACGAAAACCAAACGGTCACGCTCAATCACGGCTTATCAAAACGACCCCAACAATAAAAAAAAAAACATTTTTCTACGACTTTTTGTGCCGCAGGTAAAATTGCGACTAATTTAATTTATCGATTTGCGCAATGTAAACTTTTTTGCAACATTTTATACAAGTAGCTACTAATTACGAAGTTTCTGAACTCACTTTTAATTGATATATGTACAAACAAAATTAGTGAAGAAATATACAAACGCGAGAGGAGAAGGAAAGTTACATCCACTCGACATCGCTTTGAGAGAACTCTGCCGCGGTTTATTCTCGCGTTAATCCAAGCCAATTAGTGCTCTCGGTAAACTAATCAATTGTGTACTCGGAAACTTTGCTGTTTGCTGCTTCGCAGCAAAACAACGCCGGCGGACACGACATACTGCTGTGTATTTGGCGGAAAATGATCTCATCGCTACCAATCGCATCGATTTTGTCTCAGAGTGTTACTGATCGCATCTTATTTCACGATTACAGATACGCTTTTCACGGATTTTATCTACGGAGTATTGAATTTCGGTTGTTTTTTTTTTTTTTTTTTTTGTTTTTTAATCAGGATCTCACAAATATACACGGGGATTATTTCGGACAGATCTAACAGAGAGTTCTAAAATAATTATCGCTGCGAATGCGCCAAAAAGAGTGTCAACGGACGAGAGGACCCGTCATCGCGGAACAAGTAAATTTCGACTCAACGTTTGTATCTACGATTTCGACATCTCCGTCCGCTGCAAAATTTTCGTCAAAATGCAATAAATATCAGGTGCAGGATTAAAATATCCCCGATGCCCGTTTATTTCCAAGCCGAGGCTATAAACATCGACGGAGCAAACACCGACGCTAAAATAAAAGCACGCGATTTATTATTTACTCGCATCTCGAATTCCATTAATTCCGTTCGCGTGTGATTTTGTTTACTTAGATTTCGAGAATTTATCGCACACCCGAATTCTGCGACGCGATTTCACACTCGTGAGGAAGACGTCGCGGATCTGTCAGACGTCTCATTGTAAGAACTCGTCTTCCTCGACGAGACGAGTGTAATTTATCTCGAGAAAGAGAGAGCGTGCCGTCCCGACTAAATCTTGGCACGCTCGTCGCGACCGGAGAGTGAAAGAAGATGACATGACTTCATTCATGAAGTTTTCGCTCGAGTGTTTTCCTCCGAGGAAATTCTCTTCGGGTGCGACACTCAATTAATATGCCAACCAACCAACCTCTCGAGAAAGTAGTTCTTTGAAAAAGTTTATTTTATGCATTTAGGCTCGTGGAAAAGAACATCTCAAAACGTAACGTAATGATCTCCATGCCATCTACCTGTTTGCTCTTGTTCCAAAACGACTGAAGAACCTGCTGGCACGTCGAGGAGAGTGAGCCGTAGGTTGTGCGACATCCTTGCGGCGACAAGGACAAAAAGGACGCATTACGCCGGTTGAAATTTAACAGTCCCGTTTTCTCGTCGGTGCATTCCATGGAACCGAGATCGGTGTCAGATCCGCTCACACTCCGATTGATCGCGATCTTTCGCAAATATACGTATATTAATTAAAACCAAATCAATTTTCGCATCGTCTCGCTCTTTCGTGCGATAAACGTTCATTCTCTCATTGGCTAATCTTATTTGTTCGACAATTACGTTCTCGTTATCTTTTCAAGAAGATATACCTGTTCCATATTGCGAGAATTAATCGCTCGCCGTCGAGAGAAGGCGAGGACCTAGTGTTTTCGAATGATTGCGAGTTAACTTGGTCCGAGCGGATCTGAGCCGACAACACGCTTGGTGAATGCAAAACTATCATTTTGCCGGATCAAGAGATGTGCCGTTACGAGAGTTTCGTCACACGAGTTGGCTTGTTGTCGCGCCGCGGCGAACCTTTCGTTCACCGGTGCGATTCGAATCAAGTATGCGCGGAGTGTCCAAGGCTGCAAAACACGTGTTTGCGATTTTGTCCGCGATCGTTTTTCGGTAAATTTCCAAGACGCGCGCGCGCGCGCGATTTTTACCGTACGTCACCGCAATCCGATCCAATCGGCCACGTCGTGTTACATTGAAAGGCGATCGGGAGCACGCAACAAAATGGAAAACCACTTCGACTTAGGCAAATACATCACAAGGCGCACTCTACACGAGAGATAATTCTTCGACGTTATCTCTTTGCCGAGATTAAAACATTTATCTTACAACCGCGAGTACGCGCGAGAGACGCAGAACGAGATGCGATAGACGAAGTTATCTGAGAAAAGTTCGCACATTTTCACCAAGTGTGTCGTCGTTTTCGCACTCTGTACGATGATTGCGGAAATTGAACGCGATAAGCGAACAACGTATTAAGCGCCGCCACACACGCGATTCGCATCCGACGAAAGACGTTCCGTCTTGAGAGACATTCAGCGGGAAACTCGGCAGTCTCTCCGAAACGTTTGGAAATGTTTATTCCGAGATAACGAGAAAGAGAGAGAGAGAGCTTGTTTCTGTACGTCAATTATCCTTGCCTAACTGCGTCTATCTGCGAAAAGCGCCCCAGGGTCACCGGGGATAAGTCCGGTACAA